GGCGGCGGCGCGGCGGGCGCCGTCGCTGCCATGTCAGCGAGGGCCTGCCAACGCGGCTGCAAGACCGCCGGATCCACGCCACGGGCAGCAGCCGCCAACGGAAGGGCAGCCACGGGGCCCGAAAGCGCCAAACGCCGCATCGCCCAGCAAGGCGCCAGCGTCACCGGACAGCCGAGCCCGCGCCTCGCTGGCCTCCCAACGCGGGCGGCTGGCCGCTCCGTCCAGCACAACGCGGCGCTGCACGGAAAGATGCCAACGCCGCCGCCGCCAATGCGGCGCTGCACGAAAAGATGCACACGGTCTGCCCGTGCATCACCTCGAGGAGGATGAAAAGCGGAAAAATCGGGTTCGGCGTCCAGGGCGGCATTGCCATCTCGACCTCATCCTTGCGCATGTCCTCGGTCACTGCGCTCATGAACACTGCGGCGCCCCATGTGCACAGCTTGCGGCTCCAAGGAGGAACAAGGTTTAAGCCCGACTGCGCAGCCGTGCCCAACTTCTCCACCGAAGGTACCGCCGCGGCCTCCACCACGTCCGACTCGACGTCGTCATCCGCGTCCCGCCGCAGCGCGGCGCCAGCACCCAAGCGAAGCCCCCGCCGCGCTGCCCTGAGCTCGCTGGGGGCCGCCGTGCCGACTTCCAGGCCCTCGGCAGCCGCATGCAGACCAACAACGTTGCGACGCAGCCGATTGAGGTCGCTCGGAGTGCGACCCGCCAACACGGCGGCTACAATACCGCAGGCGCGCACGCCGCCAGCTGCGCCCCCACCTTGGGATCGCTGAAGAACGCCTCGATCTGCTTATTCAGCTGCTAGGAGGAGGAAGAGGAGGAGGAGGAGGAGGAGGAGGAGGAGGAGGAGGAGGAGGAGGAGGAGAGGAGGAGGAGGAGGAGTGAGGAGGCAGGAGGAGGTGGAGGAGGGAGGAGGGGAGGAAGGAGTGGGAGGAGGAGGGGGAGGGGAGGGGGTGTTGCGTGGGGAAGGAGGAAGGGGAAGAGGAGGAGGAGGTCGAGGATGAGGAAGGGGAGGAGGAGGAGGAGGAGGAGGAGGAGGAGGAGGAGGAGGAGGAGGAGGAAGAGGAGGAGGAGGCGGAACGTGGGCTGGAGGCGCAGTTTTTCTCGCCGCCTATCGCCCCACGCCCCCGCCTGCCTCATGTCCTGAAGCACGGCAAGACATTTCGGGCTCCTTCCGAGGAGCCGAAGGCGAAGGATCGCTTCTCGGCCCCTCGATGGCCGATGTCGTAGTACATGGAGGCCCCGCCGAGCCTTGGGCCGAACCTGCAGGACCAGACGACGGGATGGCCGAAGGGCCGCGCGTGGATCTGGAAGAGGTACTGCTCGACGATGAGCAGTCGGAAAATGACGTGGTCAATGATCTGTCGGACGAGGATGTGGTAAATGATGGCGGTCAGTCAGCATAGAATGGTGCAGCACTCCACGAGCCAGCAATTGCCTCTGAGCTCCTCGCAGGGGCAATCGAAGTGCCGTCCGCGAAGCTTCATTGAGCGCATGTGCCTCAGGATAGCTCGGGGCCCGCGCGAACCGATGAGACTCCAGACGATAGTGGTTGAGCATCGCTACAATGGATGCCGCAGGCCCAGTCCGACACAGTCTACCATGCGGTGCAGCAGGGAGGTTGGCTCTCACAACCAGCGCAACAAAAGTGGTGGGGCCCCCCACACTCGCATACGCAATGGGCACCTGAGTCTCGGTCATCAGGACATCGACATTCATAAGCACATTCTGCGTTCCGCTGCATACGAGTACGCGTGACCCAGCCACCCAGCATAGTCTTCAGAACAAAAAGCTTCCACGCTCGCGGGATGGTCTCCATCAGTCGCTTGGCTTGGGCAATGTCAGTTCAGTTCAGTTCAGTTCAGTTCAGAAACCTTGCGTCCGGACGGCGCGCGAGCAGGGTGAGACCGTGAGCAGCCAAACTGCTCATGAGAGGAGCGTGCTGTATTGGCATCGGCCGCTCGTGTTAACACACACGGAGGGAGGAGGAGGAAAAGGAGTAGGAGGAGGAGGAGGAGGAGGAGGAGGAGGAATACGAGGAGGAGGAGGAGGAGGAGGATAAGGAGGAGGAGGAGAGAGAAGAGATGAGAGCCACAGCTACGCACTCAAATACCATGCGCTAACTTGCTGTTTCCACGAGCGCGCTGCTCCGCCATCCGGGCGGAAGAAAGCAGCAACGCGCTCGCGTGAGCCCACAGCAGACACACACAATTCTTCATGACCATGTGGCTCCAAATATCTCCAAGTTTGTCTCGGCCTGCCACGCTGCCGCGGCCCGTCCGGTCGCTTCAATTCGATGCCACCTGGGCAGGATATCGAGCAGCGCACTGGGTCAGAGTCTGTCCCATGAATTCCAGCTGTCGCCTGCAGATGTCTTCGCTCAGCGGCCCCTGTCCGGCCATGGTCAAAACAGTTGCGTTAGACACTCTGCTCAGAAATGACGGCGGAATTCGCAAGATCTTCCTGAGGCAACGGGCTTGGAAGGCGTCCAGCCTCCTCCCTTCCAACTTGTTCAGACAAGCGGCGAACAAACAATATTGCAGCTTAGACACAATGCGAGCATTAAAATTGCTATCTTCCTCCTGCGACTCAGTGATGAATGCGACCATACCGTATGCAGCGCCTTGAACTCACTGGAAGCGGCCCCTATCCGACGGCTGAGCTCCGCTGCGATCCGGTCGTCAGCTAACAACTGCAGGTGACATCTCCATACCTCTGCGTCGCCGCGTAGATAGAGCCAATCGACCAGCACATCTTAGTCTCCCGTCCAGCGGGTACTCGGAGACCCTGTCGCCGCCGCTTCCAAGAAACTTGCAAAGGGTGGAGATTTCCAAAACGGCGTTGCCAACTGTGGAAGGTTCCACCAGGTGGCACAGCCGTCAGATACCAGCACATCACGCAGTCTCGGTAGAAGCACTTTCCACGACGGACATGTGATGAGACTCGTACGCATATGCACCGCAGCCGCCATCGCATACATTGACGAAATCCGTTGGCCACCAAACTCGCACAGATTGAAACAATCACCCGTCCTGAGCATGCTACTAGGTGATCGAATTCGGCGCGCCACATGATGCCGCTGACTCTGACTCTGTGCCCAACTGTACGGTACTTACTGTGCCACATATGACATAACAGGAAAAACCCTCTCATGATTCAACTGCAACAGAACGGACTGCGGGGCGCAAGACGCAGTCAGCTCCACCAGCTGGCTGTGCATCTTCGAGGATGGTCCCTCCCATTGAGCTGAGAGAGACTGCTGCCCCAGGGCTAATCTGGAAGCCTAGATAAGTACTCACATCAGAGATCCCAAACCCTCGCCATTCCGCTTGCGCATCTTCCAGTGCCCTGCGCAGGAGGAGGAAGACGAGGAGGAGGGAGGAGGAGGAGGAGGAGGAGAAGAAGGAGGAGCGCCAATACTTCCTGAGTCCACGCATCGCTGGGCACTCAATGCCTCGTGGGTTTCAGCCAGGGGTAAGGCCTAGACGATCCAAGCGGAGGCGGAAGAATCGAATAATTGTTTGGCATGTTGGTTCATGCCGCTTTGACGGCATCTAGCTGCTGCGGCAGAGTTGAAGGGCGAACGCCTTTATACGAGGTCATTCCTTAGCAACGTGGTATATATGATCCCGGGCTCTGGGCCCACGGGACCCCCCCAGATGGCATGGTCCCAGGATTCCTCGGGCCCCCCCGAGATTGGATGGGGGGGGGACGACGACGACAACGACGACGACGACGACGACGACGACGGCGACGACGACGACGACGACGACGACGACGACGACGACGACGACGACGACGACGGCGGCGGCGGCGGCGGCGGCGACGACGAAGACGCCCACTTCGGCTCCCTGAAGCACTGCAGCACCACGCCACACCCAGAGGGAGGCGACGACGGGGAAGACACCGTCGACGACGATGCTCCTCCTCCTCCTTCTCCTCCTCCCTCCGTCCACCTCCCCGTCTCCCCTCCTCGTTCCCTGGCCTTCTCTTCCCTACCTTGCTCACCCCTCCCACTTCCTCTCCCCATGTATCCGCCACTCTCCGGAAGCAGAGGACGACGACGATGGCGAAGACGCCGACGATGTCGTCCACAGGGGGGCCACCACCCCCACAGGGGGAGGGCCACCACGCCACGCCCACAGGGGGGGGGGCATCGCGCGGGGGGGGGGGGGGGGGGGGGGGCGATGCATTAGCATTGGGGGGGGGCCCAAGCCCTGGACCATATATACGATAGAAACTGAAAACTGTTGCTAACATTGCATGTGTCCGGGTGTGGTCAATCGCGGGATATTGCACAGGAGGGGCACGGCGAGACGACAGCTCGGGGACGTCAGACGAGGTAAGTGAGGCGGGGACGGTTTTAATAGTGTGCTGTGCTATCGGGGCGGGAGCACCACGGTGGTCTATCCCCGAAATCGTTTTTAGGTACGGCCAGCGAACGCTCGGAGGGGCCCGACAAAAGATTTTCCGCGCCAAGTCCTATCTCGCTTTCATGCCCCGGGGGGTAGAACAATCGAACCACGACCGCATGTGACGCTCAATTAGGAGCTCAAGCTTATCGGGATCGGCGAGACTCGTAAGAGTACGCATGTACAGTCCTTGCAGCTTGGGCCGACGACCCTCCAGGGCGGCCTCTCGCACGGCGCTTCGCGCACGGCTCTGGGCGAGGCGAAGCAGCTCAGAGGAGAGTGGGGGGTGCGACATCGGCACAGCGGAGCGAAGCTGCACATAGTATTGAACAATCGACTGGCGACGCTGCCAACACGAAGCACACCAGCTACCATGGATGTGGTCGACTGCTCCAAGGCCCCTGGCAACACTCCAGGCCTCCGCGGTGTCCTTCAGACGGCGGTGAACGGAGGATGAAGAGGAGGATGAAGAGGAGGAGCAGGAGAGGGTGGACGACGACGGCGGCGGAGGACGGAGGAGGACGGAGGAGGCAGGCTCTCCCCCGATGTTGCCTCCAAGCCTCGCGCGGGAGAGCGGTCCTTGTCGGCGATGTCCGTCCACGGGGCGTTGTCCACGATCTCGCGCAGGTCCTTTGGCGGTCTCAGAGCGGTGCGGTGACAGACCGTGCTGCGACGTCGAAACCACAAGACTGGGTGTTGCTAGAAGTGCCCCTGGCCCAAGGTACCCCCAGGAATTTCATGGAGGCCCCCACGGCCTCCAGAGCACCTTTCACGAGGTCCAGAAGGCCCCAGGGGCTCCACACTTGAACGAAAAGCTGGGGGCACCTTGGGCCAGGGGCACCTTTAGAAATCTCCGACAAGAGACCTCACTGCACGGTCCGCCACCACACCGTTTTGGGACCACCCTGGCCCCAATCGCCCGAGACGTCCAAACCGTGAGGTCACCCCGAATCCCCACTTCGGGTCGGACGAAAGGAGGGGTAGTCAAAGGGGGGCTAGCGAATCAGCTCGCGTAACTGATTTTCCTGGCGCCCCCCCCCCTCGCTGGCGGCGCCAGTGTCGAGGAAGGCGCCCGGCGGCGTTGCCGAAACCAGCTGCATGCAGCAGACTTCGTACCCCCCCGCCTTTCGTCCGACCCAGCCACTGGCTCACCACACGGTGTGACCACCGCACCGCCTGTGGGCCCCGAGTCCTCCTCGGTGACGGCGTCGCCCCCGGGCCTCCAGGAGAGCCAGCAGCGCAGGTGCTCGTCGGCGATCACGTCCTGCCACAAATCCTGGCGGGAGCCGGGGCCGATCTGTGAGGGCGGGCGTTTTCTGGAAGTTTCAAAATCACGAGCAGACGTTTCGAGCCCTCTGCCCCGAGACGAGACGACCCTCCTCCAGACCGCCACTAGGCCCCGAAGAGACCTCGAGATACCTCAAGAGGCCCCGAAGAGGCTCCCGAGGGGACTCCAGGAGGCCCAGAGAGGCCCTACAAAGCCCTCCAAAGGCCTCCAAGAAAGCTCCAAGAGTCTCGGAACATGCTTCCCTAAAGGCTCCCAAGAAGCCCCCAAGACTAACACCCGACAGCCCTCCAGGAGGCCCCCAAGAGGCTTCCCAACATACCCAAATGCCAGAAATAATACAATATGGGCCATCGGAATGAGCGAAGCGACTGAATTCGGCGGGTCCCTTGCGGACCTCAGTCGGATTAGGCGTCGAAGGTAGATGGTGAACTGGAAAATGATAGATGAATGAGATGCATCGTGCATGCATGCTGGGAGCGGCCTCGCGCATTCCGCCGGCCCGAAGGGGCTAATATTTTATCAAGTCTCCTGCGGCACGTAGAAATACGAGTGATCCGCGCTCACAGGGCCACGAAAGCTTCAATTCGGCACACCACTCACGCACTTCCTGCCCACCCCAGGCCCCTGATGCACGTAAGAACGCTAGGGATTCGCAGCTCGAGTCTCCTCGAGGCCTCAACTCAACACACCCCTCACATATTGCGCATCATGAGTGCTCAGTTGGCCCCCAGGACGGCTCCTTGAGGCCTCAATTCGACACACGCCTTACGAATTTCGCGCACATTTAACCTCCAGGGGCGATCCACTTGTCCTCAAGAGGGAGCCTCAATTAGGCACACCCTTCACGCACTTCGTGCCTCATAGACTGTCAAGGGCCCTCAGCTGATCAATCAGACAGCTCAAGGGAGCTCCAAATCGGCACACTCCTCACGCACTCCTTCGCCCATGGACCCCAAAGGCCCCCTGTTGGCTCCGAAGACCGCCTGCCACCACAAAGGAACGCCACGGTGGCCCTGAGAAAAGCATGCTACGAAAGGCTGGCGCCGACCCTCGTCAAAACCAAACCCCGAAAACCCACTGATGCTAACATATACGCGCAAATTTCCCGTCGTGGCCCGCCGTGACTCCAGCTGTGCGGGCTCAATAACCATCCACCTACATATCCAGCGGTACGTTTTCCAATCCCAGCGTTTGTCATAGATTTCGGCCGCGGGAGCCCGGTCACAGGCCCAGGGGACCCTCAAAAATCAACCCGGGCCGGGAAAACTGGCCCAGAGGAAAGGGTCGGGACCTCTGCAGTCGCAGTTTAAAAAGAAACGATTGTTGCATGCCCGGGCACGCAGCTCGATGATGACATGCCCTCGACCTCAGGCCCACGGATATGATCCTGACCCGAAGAACTTCACGCTCTGAGGGCCCGCATGGCCGCGTGCGGTCTCCTCTTCTTGTCCTACGGTCTTTCCCTTCCGCCTGTGCCGCAAAATCCCACCAGCCCTTGAGGGCGTGGGTGGTCTAGGGAGTTTCCTCTTCCACCCCTTCTTCCCCTTCGGGGCTCGCAAGGGTGCCCCAAGATGGCCCCAAGAGGTGGCCAGGAGGCCCCAAAAGGCCCGCAAGAGGCTCCCAGGATGCCCCCAAGAGGCTCCCAAGAGACCCCAAAAGGCCCCCAGAGGCCCCCCAGAGGCACCCAAGACGCTCCAAGAGGCCTCGGCGAAATGCCGAAATCACTGATGTTACTCAGGTTTTGGCCACATGTTGGCCTCTTGGGGTGGGGGCACTGATTAAGATGACTCCAAAAGCGCCTGGGAGAGCCCGAGATGATCTCCAAGATGGCTCAATCTATCCCAAGATGCCTCGAGATGGCTCCCACGATGCTCCAAAATGCCCGTCTACGGCTCCAAGACGGCTACAAGTGATCAAAGAGCTCCCCCAGGCCCCGAATAGGCCAAAATTCTTCCAAACCCTTGGGGAAATCACATGAAAAGTAAGGATACAG